TATATACTGAAACTGTCTTGATATGCAGCCAAATTTCTTTACGCGGAAAGCTCATAAGGAGATCCAACCAGGGAATCCTTAGGCCAGAAACAGAGCACTAGGCATCTGGATAACAAATCCCACACAACACCATGGTGTGTAAATTAGTATATGACCAAATCAATAACACAGCATTAAGAAAAATGTCCATTGGGAATGCCAAATTGAAATAGTCAGAATGAAATGCGTTCCAGAATTAATCTCTCTTACTAAAAGTGTTGTTATTATGATTCTCTATCACAAAAACAAGTTGCAAGATTTTACTCCTACCGGATAGAAGCTCCAGCTGTCAACAAGCTAAAGAGTGGGTCTGCATTAGTCAGACAACTTTAAATGGGTGGAAGCTTTTGCACGTCTGAAATGATTGCCAGCTGTGCAAAAGGAATATCTAATAGATGATCACAGAGTTGAACTTAAAAACCAATAAAGAAAAAGGACATACAGGTGCACCTGAAAAATTTGAGTGCTACTTTTCAGACTTGTCCCGAGTTCCTCATCAGTACATATGAGGTGGCAGAGGGAGAAGTGGGGCAAAGTTTTAAGTTATTCAGGTTACTAAACTAAGGTGACTAAGCAGTGTAAGTAGATTTTTTGCTCCTCCTCGATGCTTTCATGACTAAAACTTTTTTTTCTTTGTTAGGCTGTACTCAACCCAATATGTGCAATTTCCCTTGTTTTTTCGGAATACTTACCTAAATAACATATAACTTAAATCTTTTTCCTTATTCTTAATTGAGTGTTTCTTTGAATGCTTTACGTGGGATGTGTTCTTTAAATGTGTCCTATTTGTTACAAAACACGTGAAATATGATTTTACATGCTCTTTTAGGATTCCTGAATAGTTGTGGGTTGTATTTCTCGGAAGAAAGATTTGTGGATTTGTTGTTATTGAAAAGTCATGGTTTACTTTGAAGCAGAGGAGCTTACTAGTACATAGCTGAAGAGGCATGAGGAGTTCACTAAAATTATGCCTCTAAATATTCAAAGTGTAAAAACAAACAAGAAAATACTCCTGCTTGTTTGAAATGGGTATTAAGCTTGTTATTCAGTCTTTTCCATTTATCCATTCGGTCTTGGTGTGCAATTGTCCAGATACTTACATGCCAATAATTTTACCTGACTGTTTATTAGAATAGTAATATTGGAACAACTGAACACAGTTACAAAGCACTTACTGAAAGCTTTCCATTATGGATAAATATCATGGCCAAGGAAAAATAGAGAACAATCTGCCTTCCTTGCCTAGCAAGAGCTCTCTAATAATTATATGTTGTTTATGGAACAATAGAAGATAACAGTTCTCAGATTATAAATAGCCATATTGCTTTCCCCTGTAGAAGTACTGAGTCTTCTGCACACAAAGAAATCATCAAAATTTCTGTGCTAATAGTTTAAAAAAAAAATCTTTATTTTCTATTAACTACCACATGACAAGAACGGTAGTTTCTAATCTTCGTTTTTGATAGAGATAATAACATGTAGAAGTACTGAGTCTTCTGCACACAAAGAAATCATCAAAATTTCTGTGCTAATAGTTTAAAAAAAAAAATCTTTATTTTCTATTAACTACCACATGACAAGAACGGTAGTTTCTAATCTTCGTTTTTGATAGTAATATAGTAATAATAGTAATAATAACAGTTTAGATTACTATTTCTTTGTGCATAGCTTAAATAAAATATTTTCTGTAGACATTTCATGTATTTCTACAAAATTGAGATAGCAATCCAAGATATATCTATATGTACTAGAAGTCCTTAGAACAAATGCAACCTTTGATGCATAGAAAATTCACTAATTTTTCACGTGTAATTCTTTTGACTTCCATTCATTTTTCCCATTCTTCACATTCAGTAGTTGAGGTAACGGGAATGTGCACAGCTTTCAATGCTAAGGGACAGAGATTGGGAGTGAGTAAATTTGGGTCCATTCCTATCTTTCACACTGGCTTATCATACACAGTTCAACATCTCTTCAATGCCTCTATTTTCTCAAAAGCAGCTAGAGGCCAGTCACTCTTTAAACCACTGCAAAACAGGAAAGATTATTAGTATTGTGCTATTAAAATTTCTTTAAAATAGTTTAAATATTTTCTTTGTCCAGCAATTTTTAATGTATTTTTGTTACAAAACAATTGGGGAAAAAAATCAGACTTTGCAATATACCTAACTTGCCGCCCTTTATTTTTCAGGCTAAACACCCACAGAGAGTTTACTTGTGTTAGAAAGGAAGAATAACCTTCTACATTTCTGTACAGCTTCTATATTAATAGTGGCTCTAATATTAGATTGTAAAAATGCATATCTGCATTTTAATATATACAGTAGCAGGCCCCTGGATCTACTAACTAAACATATCTACATTTAAAACAAAAATCCATTTCACTCAGATTGAATATTGTTTCTTTAAGTTCACCACAATGAAAGCATATGAATTTGGAAAGTGGTGTAAATAGATTTTCTTATACTTTTGTGTGTTCTCCTAAATAGTCTTTTTTACAGAACAATTAATATAACAATCCTATAAAATCTAACTAAATTCGTATGGTTTTTGTTTTTGTTTGCAAAGGCATAGTGTTGCAAAGCAGCTTAATGGCTTTGCTACTGAAATACAGGTTTATTCCTTGAGGAGTGCAAACCAACAGAAAAACAATGTGAGCGAAAGAAAGAGTAAGGAGAGGATGATGGTCCTTCCTCTAGTGGTAGGCTTTATGGCTTTATTACAAAAGACAATATTTTAAACTGTTTCACACCGTGCCTTGAAAATGCCTATAGTAATTACATATTGAAAAAAGCCCCAATCTTATGGTACACTTTCGGGTAAATAGAAGCAGCAAGCAATTGCTCTCATTGCTCCAGAGGTTATTGTTTTGGAAATACTTGTATTTTTGAAATAATAGCTGCTTTACAAAAAAAAATTAAAAATGTTGTCTTTTGAAGTGCAGGCATTAGAAAAGTCCAACATACCTAATGACAAGACACTGCTATCAGTTCCCGGTTTGATTGTCATTGTGTTTTCTCCAGACTTCCTAGGGAAATACTGCAATTAAGACTAATAATTAAAGTTTACAGTTGGCATAAGGCTCAAACACAGAACTGATCAGAAGTCAACTGTATTCTCATCTGGTACTCAAAAGAATTACCGTATCTTTTTACATATCCTGGAAAGGAAATGCAAGAAGAGTTAAGACATGTAAGGAGGGAAGTTCTCTCAAGTATGTTGAACAAGAATCTGATGTTGTCTGAATTTTGCTCCTAGTAAGTAGGGAAACAGTAAACTTTGATTCCCTTCTGGCCAAGCCCTTAGTAGTCTGTATTTTCATAAATTTCAAGTAGTGGGATGAAAAAAAATTACTCTATAGTTTTCTTATTGTTTGCTGTTTGTAAATGAAAATCATTGTTAATTTAGGAGCCCAACAGCTGTAGAACATTTGCCATTTGGCAGCAGCTGTCAGCAGCACTCCAGTTTATTTTACAAACAGATGTTTAATTTGACTTCAATACCATCACCACTTTTTGAGGGGAAACGAGGAGGAAAGGAATAGAAATAATCGTGGTAGTCATAAACATAAAGCAGATTGACTACTGATGACATCAAAAGTATTTTCATTTTTTTATTAGTGAATTTTTATGACTGTGAGAGCTGAAATTAAGCTTTTCTCAATGCACAGTAACTCATGTTAAGGAAATTATTTGTCTTGTGTCAGGAACATAAGGTCTTATTTTAGTATGCTACATTCTTAAAGTATGACTTTATTGATGAATCAAAATGTCATACTATTTCTACAGATTGCAGATAAAGAGATTTTTGTCCCTGTATTAAAACCAGGGCACCAGTGGACTCACTCTCAGACAAACATAATGTTGTTTACTATAGTATAATAGTATTCTTATTTCACATCAGCAAAAGTGAAGGGCAAATTGGGCCCAGTAATGATGAAAAAACCAAGTAACATAATGTAGTTAAAATGAGTAACCAGTGATTTTTTTTCAGTCTTGGCAAGATCATCCATTATAAAAGATGTGCATAGACCCAGACAAGACGCTTGAAATTAGCAGTGTATGATCTCAGTCCCCCAACACTTTGGCAATTCTTCGATGTTACAAAGTCCAATTTAAATTAGTCTTATCTTACTGGTCATTTGCTCTTTCATAATACAGTCTGATCAGGTATTTCAAGACATGTTTCTATGAGGGTATGTAAGTATACCTGCAGTTAAATTTAGGAAGCTATATCAGATGTGCCATTTTGCCTGAAATTTTCTATGTTAGCAAAATTTTTCTGACATGCTGAGTTCAATGTTTGCTGAACTGTCTCCAGGCTCACAAAAACATAGAACAGCTCTGCATAGCACATTTTACAGTTAATATTTTAAGCATAGCTGTATTTCAGTATGAAAAGCAAATGGCTGAACTAACAAAGTGTCAGATTCTCCCATCCTTACTTACATTGAATAGTATTTAAATTCTTAAGCAAGTTTGAATATATTAACTGGAGACACTTTAAGAGTGGCATGTTATACAAATACCTGTTATTCCAGTTATTTGTTATACAAATACCTAAACATGGTATTTGTCTTGATTCTTTTTTTCATAAGCACCACATAATCAATTCTGATTTATTTTGTTAAAGGAGCAGTTACATGTATTATTGCAATTCTTTAGAGATTATGAAAGGGGGAAAAAAATGTTCTTTATGTAAACTGACTGTTTATTCTTGTTGTCTTTTTACTGATCTGGTTTGACAAATTTTTGATGGGATTTGTGAAAGGTTTGAAATACTAAATTTAACCAATAATTGGGTGTGTGCCATTTCTTTCTTTTCCTTGCAGTAATTAGGTACTTGCTTTTTCTATCTTTTCTACTTCATTAGACATGCATTAAGTATCTTTGCTGTCTGAGCAGCAGCAGTCTTGAATGCTTTTTGCACTGTTTTCCTGAAGAAATAGATTTGTTGCTCAGTCAGTTCACGGCTTCAGCAGAATGTAAAGTCTTGCAATGCACCAGAAAGCACACTTGATTTCTTTAATGGTTTCTCGGTTTTCATTTGCTGCAGAAAGGATAGGCTTGCAAACAGAGAGGCCTGTGTCTAGAGAAGGAATCAGCTCTGTTCATTAGGAAAATAATGAACTTGATGCTTTCTCGTGGCACAGTGTATGTAGCCAGTGATACCCTTAATATGTACCAACAACTCATTTAAGTTCTACACATTACCTACGGTAATGTTTCTTCCCATAGATTTACCTGAAAATAGATTATATGCTCATTCTGCACATCAGAAAAAAAGGTGTGCTCTCTCACAGTGCAATTGCCTTGTGGTTGTTTGCTGAAGTAGATATACGATGAGATAAGGAACTCATTTACAGAATAGAAAAATGTTTCACACTACAGAGATGATGTCATGTATTGAGGCACTGCCATTTCACAGTGATTCGGAAAACAAGTTGGCTTGTTCATCAGAGTCAATTTTGATAACTACTAATAAACAGGCATTTGTGTAATTTCTCTGAATAAATTGTGAATAAAACCGTGTCTTCTATATAGCAAAGAAACAAAAATGGCTCTTCATTCTTCCCATCTATATAGTAGTAGTCTGTTTTTCTGCCACATATAGTTCTACTCACAAAGCAGTAAATATCTTTAGGGAAATAGACAAATTAAAGCTAAACTCATGAAGAGGTGGCAAATTTCAGAGATATTCAGGAATGTGTTTTCTTCACTGTCTTTATCAGTAGGCCACTTAGCAAGAATAAAGTTTTAAGTGCTGTTCTTATAACTGTCTTTTTTTTCCCCGGTGGTGTGCATCAGAAGAAATTCAGTCTGGGATTCTCTTCTGATTAATTGAAACTGAAGTTGGTAATTGATTTCAGTAGGAGGTTGGTTAGTTCTCACAATCAACAGCAGCATGAGGTTGCAGGGCACTTTAGGTTTTCTAAAACCAGCCTCAACATCAGTGTATCTTACAATAGTATGTTTTTAATTTTCAAACCACATATTTTGTCTGTCACTTTTTCTGTGCAAATGTCTGTTGGGAGAAAAAGACTGCCCACTATAAAAACCAAAGTCTCATAGGTATACTTTACATTTTGTCTTGAAGAGGAGGAGGTTTGTTTTCCTTGTTGCTTCAGTTGCAAAATCTAAACCAACTATTGGAAAAGTTTAGATTGCACCGCTTGAGTGTCATTCTCAAACATAATCTGTGAATCTATTTCATACACATATCTGAAGGAGCACCCCTGCTTGTCTCTACAATATCTCATCCCTTGCTCAATTTCTTCCTGTATCTCTAATAATACCTGGTGTATCTCAGTTATCCATGTTAAAGCATGTCCCTCTCAGACTTTCTAATGAAGTTAAGGATCTAATTAACTGCATTTTTGACCTAAATAGAACTTGGTAGGGCTGGCTTCCAGTTCTTAGTCCATGTCTGCCTCTCAAAGCTGCTAATATGAAGGGTAATTTATCATCTTAATCCTTTCCATTGCCACTTACTACTGTTCACCATGCTCCTTTAATAGTTCTATTCATGTCCTTAGTTCTATTCATCTCCTTGTTCTTATGATGAAGGCAGATACAGACTGTGTAGCTTTTTCTTAATCCCTGGTCTTTCATGCATAGTTGTAATCATGTCATTTGTGTGGGTCAGTGAGACTTCAGAAGCCCCACAGAGGCAAAGGGTTTCTTAATACTGTTTTCTTTTTGCTCTCACTTCTACTATATGCTGTTATGTAGAAAAGGCTTCAAACCACCTTGAGAAAGAATCGGTCACCTCCAAAGATTTTCATTACCCCAGACTGCTTTGGGGAGCTAATGTATATAATCTATGTGTGATCACATCCACAGTCCAACAGCCCACTGCTGCAGCCCAGAGATATGATTAGACTTTGTTCTTGCCCTTCCTATGCATACCTTGGACAATATTTGATCCATCTCCTAACACCTGTTTCTATACCTTTCAACACTACTCTTTCCTTAAACCTAAGAGCATTTTTCTGATGGTCTTTCAGCTATTTCTCTAATACAATTTGAATCTGCCTTTTTTCCATATACAGTCCCTTCAGAATGAGGAAAGTGGGAAAGTTACAGATCTCAACGCTTATATCTTTATTGATCTTTTCTTTAATTTTTCTGCACTCATTTCTTTCAGTGTAAACAACCAGTATCTCCTGGCATTAGCTGTCTAAATGTTCTGTAGGCTGCAGTTTCAGCTGTTGGTGAGAGCTCTTAGAAAAGCCCAGGTAGAAGAGATTCAGTTGTTGCAGCTGTTAATTCTTGAAAGCTGAAACCTGTGTCTCAACTGCACTAAGGAAATGGCAAGTCTCTTCTGATGGTTGCAGATCCAGTTCCAGTGGATTTGCGGTGCCAGACTTAACCTCAAGTACTAAAGGTCATAGAATCATAGAATGGCCTAGGCTTGAAGGGACCTTAGAGATCATTTAATCCAACCTCCCTGTCATGGGCAGGGACGCCACCTCTTGACTAGACCAGGCGACACATGGGGACCGATCGGGAATCGTACTGAATCACAATTAAGCTTGCCTAGGCAAAAGTATTCATATCACTGAGGTCTCTTTTAAGAGGTAGTATTAAGCAATTTAGTATCAAATCAAGTTAGCTTAGTTTCAGTGGGTGTTAATTTGTTCTGCTGCTTGTCACACTTTAACCCTTAGACTTCTGTCAGTTCAAATGAGGCGAAGGTTCTTCTGTATTTGAAAACATCATGTACTTTATACCAATTTGAATTCCTGCTACTGAATATCTATTAATCAATATTTTAAAAGTGGGTGGACCTAGTCAGAATGTTGCTCTTGACATACAATTTTTGTGTGCACAAGCAAATTATTTTCTCATTAAAATATAACTTCAGAATATTGCTAATTGACACCTGAGAATGACAGATCTGATATTTTTGTTTTCATCAACAAGTTCTCTCAATTCCTTTCTGAACTCCTTAAGAACATTAAAGATTTAGAACATTTTTTTCTGAAATTTTAGGGTATTTTTTCAAGCTTCAATAACTGAGCTCTCATGCTGATGTAACTTTTGCTTATTTTTTTTTTAATACCATATGCAAAAATAAAATTTTTTTTTTTTAGTCCCCTCAAACTGAGTGGGGGAAAATGACTCAAGAGGGAAAGGGAATATGTTTAGGATATAAAGAGCAAAAGAAATATTGTAAAGGGCAAATGTGCTTTTTACTATGCAGTGGCTGTTGATACTTGCTCTGCAATAATGGCAAAAGCAACAGAGCAGTCTGAGGACTGGTGAAGAGTAGCACATGCAGGAGGGCTTGAAATGTGACCTTTGCCTGTGTGGTTTGGTTTCTGCCACGTCCTGACACAGCAGGTAAAGGAGGCAACAGATTGAAAATGGGGCATGGTGATTTTCATTTACTATGTGAAACCAGTACTTAGAATAGCAAAATAAATATATCCTCCAACCATCCAGTCCTATCCAACCTCTTCTGGCTTTTCTTTACACTATAATTTATAATGCTAAGTTTTGAAATTCAAGGAGATGGTACTTGCTATAAAATGGGTGGCTAGCAAAGTACCTGGTGAAGATACAACCCACAAATAGCACTGGGGCATAAGCAATGTGAAATTTTCTCAAGAGTTGTAGACAAACTCCTTCTTTCATCTTTTTAGCCTTTTGTGGTGGTGATGGTTGTTTTTTGTTTATTTGTTGTTTTGGAGTTTGTTTGGTTGTTTGGTTTGTTGTGGTTTTTTTGCAAGTAATAGGTGTAGTGTACGTGTCAAAAATTATTTTATCAGTATGAGTTTTTGTCCTGAAGATTTTAAATTTAATATTTATGTCTTGTGGCTATTCAAGCAAAGAACAGATTTTTTTTTTTTTCTGAGGAAAAATACAAGATAACAGCATATATAATCGTGTTTTTCCTTAGAGCTTTTTGTTGTATTATAAATGATGGCCCCTTGTATGTGTGTGATGGTAAACTCAGGTATGATATGAAGGACAACCAAAAGGATTTTGAAGCAAGAGCAAGTTTGTAAGACAAGTTTAGAGTACTTTGCTGTTGCTGTGGGGTTTCTCTCAATTATATTTTCTGACAGTATGGATACAATGTTGAAAAACAAAACTAAAGAAAGATATTCCGGTGTGTATATATGCACTGAAGTGAGCAGCATTCATTGTCTTCCATCTAACAAATTTATTAGAGAAAGGGCACTTACCCTATGCAGGGATGTAAATGTTGAATTATGGCAACATTGATTAAACCTTACATTATATTACTCAATTATATTACATTTATTCAACGTCAAATATCAGGTCTTGTTGGTTTGCTCAAGCTGTGTTACCAACATACTTAAAAAAAAACAAACAAAACTCAACAAAATGACAACAAAAACTGCACCATCTGTGTTAGCTTCTAAGTTAGACACCAAGAAAGAAATAATATCATGCAAGTTTTTAATAGTACTGACCCTTGCCAATGACAGCTGATGACAGAATTAGATTTTGGTGTAGATAGAGCTTGTTCCTTAGTTGAAAATTATTTTGAAGAATGTAGCTGTCAAATACCTTATCAGTGTAGAAATTGCTGAGCATCTGATGGCTAAAGGGTTGTATATGCTTTCAGAGGAATTGTAATTTATTTTTAACAAGAGTCTCCTAAATATTAGTAAGAGAAGTAAACATTGTTGGTAAACTTCTGGGACTTTGCACATTTCCTGACCTTGTAAGTGCTTGACAGAAATGTAGCCTTGTTTTTTCTAAGACAACACTGCAGGAAATAAAATGAGAACATCCTAAATAACGTATTGGAATCACAAAAATCCACTAGCACCAACAAAATTACAGTAGATGTAAATATATGGTTTTCACCTCCCTTTCTAGTGCTAAAGTAGATGGTACATTTTGAAATTTTTTCTATCCAAAAGACAACAAACCAAAAAAAAAAGCAAACAAACTTAACATCCTGTTAGGTATAATTTTTCTTGGTAGCCTTCTGAGGTGAGAAACTTAAAATAAGGTAATTAAATTAGTAAAGCATGGGATAAGTAAAATAATTTTTATGGCTAGAAGGACAAGACAAGGTTAACTCATAATCAATATAGAACAGAAAAAATTTTTAACTGCAATCCAGTATTTTATGATTATTTTTCAATATCCAGGTGAAACCTACAGTATCCTCACCAGCTCTGGCAAAGCATGTTTTATTAACATGTAACTCTAATATTGTACTTAATGGTTTTGATGTAAGCTTAAAAAATGTCATAGGAACAATTCTTATAGATCCTTCTCCTTACTTCTTTTGTCATATCATTACACCCACAGAGGCAATTTAAAATAAGAGTATTTCTGTTGATGTTAGGATTTGACAAAAGGAGTAAGGAAAATGATCTAAAGCTGTTTCTATGGAAGAAAAAAAACGAAAAAAAAACCCCTCTGTTTCTGGTATGACTTGAAGCATTCCCAAGGCTACTCTGAATTTTGCTTCTGTTTTGAATAGCTGTGAAGTTGTGTGCCTGCTTTCAGTATTTATGCAGCCGTCTAATATACCAGTCCTGTTCCACTTGGAATCAGTAACAAAAATCTCATTTAGATTATCAGCTCCGTACGTGATTTCAAACACAGCTGAAGAGACAGTGACTCAAAAACTGTGGAGCTTTTGTTGCTAGAAATGGAATTGTTCCCCTGACACTTTGCACTGACAAGCTAGCTGCAGGGAAAAGAATAAGTACATTTCAAGCTTCAAGCAAACTTTCTATGTTTTATTTTCAAGATAACTGCTTCTGGATTAAATACTCTTAATATCTTTGTTATCTGCAGATTTGGGTGCTCCTTTATCAAGCAGCTGATTTCTCATTTGTTTTGATTTTCTAAGTGAGGTTTTGTTGGTTTTTTTTAGTAAGCTTTGGAAAACCCGTTCTTTAAAATCATATTTAAAGCCCAGGATCGTAGAATAATTTAGTCTGGAAGTGACCTCTGCAAGTCATTTAGTCCACCTACCTGCTTGAAGTAGGTGTTGTTACATCAAGTAGGTTGAGTAGGTAGCTCAGAGATGTACAATCCAGTTCTCTCAGCCTCTCTTCAGACATTACGGGCTCTATTCCTCTTACCTTCACAGCCCTTTGCTGGACTTTCTGTAGTAATGCAATGTCTTTCTCTAACTGGGCAGCCACAAGCTGGCTGTAACACTCCAGGTGTGGTCTCACAAGTTCCAAAGGGAGGGGAGAAATCATGTTCCTTGACTGGGTTGCCCTGTTTTTGCTGAAACCACCCAGGAGGCTGGTGGCTGCCTTGGCTGCAATGGTGTGCTGCTGCTGGCTCAGAGTCAACTTGTCCACCAGGAACTCCAAGGACTTTTCTGCAAAATTGCTCTCTGGCTAGGAGATACCCTACGTGACTGTTTTCCAGTTTTATGGCAGTGTTTGAAAAACCAGAGTTGGTGATGTGTTAAAAATTGTATATCTTTAATTGAGTCTGTGTGGTAGTATTTGTTCTCAGTTGCAACATAGTATCAAAAAAATCCTTGAAGTTGTCTTTGGTTTTGAACAGGAAGCCTGGAAAAACTAAGGTAGCATGCCAATGTCCCAGACTGGCCATTGGGCTCACGTTCTTGTTAGTAGGTGCTTTGGTGGTTTTGGTTTATTTTTTCTCCTTGTTTCTTGTTAGAAACCCTGAAAAAGGGTTAATTCTTCATTTAGGAGATGCCCACCCTGTTAAAGCTGCGAGCAAACTGTAGTTTCTGCATCCTTTCCAGTTTGATTTAGCTTCAAGTCGTTTAAAAAATCTGGTTATTCTGGCTGCTTTATAATGTGAAATAAAGAATTTCTTCCTATCCTGCTATGATCTTGTATTTTGGCAATGCAAGCATGTAAAACTGCATCTCATTTTTCATAGTTTGTAGGGTAGGACATTGTCAAAGAAAGGTTTACGTCACTACAAGAACAGCTCATATATAATCATACATAGTCTTTTTCTTTTTCCTGGCTTCAATGAGTATCAGTCAGAAATAATGCTAGTGAGATCAAGATAATTATTTGATTATAAAGCTGAGGTAGAGACAATGATCTGGCCCTTAGTATTTAGAGTTTTAAATACAAATCATGGGACAAAATGTTGCTAGAAGAATGCGCTCCCTTACTGGCAAACTAAGAAGAGTGCCAGCTCCCAAAGCACTGCTGTCAGAAAAATATCCATTCAAAGAATGTCTCTGAATTTAATAAAATTCTGTTTCTTTATAGAAAGAAGAAAAATTTTACATTTGATTTAAATTTTTATAGTTAAAAAATGGTCAAAGAAGCTGGTTGACTTTATGTAGGACTGGAAGTGGTCACCTGAGCCATTTGAACATATTTTCCACTTGATTATTATTTTGGTTTTACCATATCATGGTTATGATACAAATGTGCAAGAACAACTTTTTCTTGATGCTTTGCTGACTTGAAGTTCTTTCATGCAGAATTCATTTTACTGTCTCAGATGAGAGGCTAAAAATCTGTGATGCAACTCCGACTGTAAAAGATAAATTTGCAAAATAACTCTGTTTTCCCCTGTATCGTTTTTTCAACGTCCCTGTCTCCTGCTACACTGAGGCTTTATAGACTTGCATTTTGTTTCAACTACAAGTCTTAATAAAATATGGTAGATTTAATTAATTTTAAAGTGGCTTGTCTTTTTGGAACCTTTGAATTTCTTTTAAATACTTTAGTTTTGACTAGCCTTTTTTCTAACTTCTGGTTTACGTGATATTTGCACTGAATTGTGGTCATATATTAGAATATTTATGTCTTCAGAATGCCGCATAATTTCCTACAAACAGTTGCTTGCTTTAGCTGTGCTATTTTACTGAAATTATATTAAATTTCAATATTTTAATACAAGTTTTGATTGAAATATTGAATATTTGGTTGAGCATCATGCCTTTCTAGATATCCTTACCATGTGACCATGATCATTTGTCTAAAGGTAGTGTCTGTAAAATGTAATGAAATTCAAATGCAAGGTGAAATAAAAATATCCAGTCTGTAGTCCTATATTGTGTATATGTATTGTCAGAAGAGGGAAAATTGCCTAGGTCTTAGTAGTCCAGTTCTGTCCTTTTGCTACTTTGTCGTACAGTGTCTTTTTCCTTTTAAGGAATAAATATATTTAAACATGTTGGTTGTTTTTGTGTTTTTTTTTTTTACTTTATAGAGCCAGTATCGTGCAGAAGCGCATAATTTATTTTCAAGATGAGGGTTCTCTCACAAAAAAAATTTGTGAACAAGGTAAAGTAAAACATCCTTCTGACCTTCTTCTCTTGTTCTAATTATTTCTCTTACATCATTATATTAAACTAAAATTTTGAGGTCTCGATCAGTTTCATCTAGGCTCAAACTTAGGATCTCTAGTTATATAGTTTCTTATAATACACTTTTCCTTGCCTTCCACTAGTGGGATACTTGCACCTTTTTACCTGGTCTTTGTGTGATACTTGTTTGAATCTTGTGCTATTTCATCCTTTTCTAAACCTAAGCATTGCAGCTAGTTACTGCATCCCACTGGAGAATTTATATGCTTTGGCTGTCCAGACATTTCAAGCCTACTGGGTTTTATAAATCAAATGTGGTTTTGTCCGTATCAGATAAGAACCAGAAAGAAACCTGTTTTGAATCTGAATATGACTGAGATAGTGATGCCTTCTTTTTTAAAAATATGGATTTAAATCATTACATCCACTTACAGATATGATCCAGGTATTCCAGTGTTCTAGTTTAGCTCAACTTAAAAATAAAATAAATCTAAGTTAAATTCTTATTATTTTTTATTTACTGGACTATTATGGCAATTTTGTTGTCCTCTGTCGATTTTGAGTTGTAATTGTTATCGATGGGTACTTTGCTTTTTCAGACTCGGCTTCAGAAGGTGTGACTGACAAACCAATTTTAGATTGTTGTGCCTGTGGAACTGCCAAATACAGGCTAACCTTTTATGGAAACTGGTCAGAAAAAACACATCCCAAAGATTTTCCACGTGAGTATCATTCTTTTACTGTTGTACCGTATAGGGACTGTGAAGAAGGCTAGAGCTTGTTGTATGACGCGTTACTTGTTTACAGCTCAGCAGTGTAAATTATGATGTGTGTGCAATACTGCTAATGTTCAGTATTGAAAATCCATGGCTCTTTCTGCAAATGCTATACATAACAAATGAATTCTTTTGATTTGCAAGGTATTTTGAATGGAAGTGTCTGATACCACATTTTCAAGATTTCTTTGTGGTGAGAAAGAGTATGGGTGCATCACTGAAAGTAATCAAGTTGCAATAGTTTTGCCACAGTAGTGGGCTATGTGGACTGCTGTCTCTCCCCAGTTACAAAGTGGAGAATAACATTAAAGGTTTAATTAAAAAACATCTGATGAGAATTCATACTGAAATTTCTGGAAGTTGAGAAACGATCTCATCCAGACATAGCAATGTTGGACATGGAATCTTCAGAGCACATGGCCTAACTCATTCTCCATTTTACTAAAGACTTAAAGATGCTTTGGTTCCTCTGTGAAGTGATACACTTTCCTTTTGTAGGGACTGTGTGGAACCTTCTCTTTCAATATGTTCAGTAAGTGTCACTTACTGTGTTTCAGGGAAAGCTGCTGTGTCAATGACTTGCGAGATAGGTGGACTCATGGCTAGGAAGATTGAATGGGCAAAACTGGTGGTCCCATCACTGGAGCTTCATGACAGTATCTCTCTGTGGTTTCACAAGGTGCCAGTGTATATTCAAGGAAACAATACTAGACCTTAGATCAAGAAACTGTCCTCTGACACTGTAGTCTCTTCAGCTATAATGTGAGCAGGGACGAGGATTAGTTTTGTTTTTGTTCCATTTGGGGCTCAGATACTTGTTAGCTTTAATGTACTCTGTAAACATCAGCCTACTATGATCCAGAGCTCAGAAGGTGTATTTTGGTCCAAGTTTAGCAGTAGGGAAACTATGGAGGCTTTGTCTGCGGTGTTGCTAGGCCATCTCCCTCATCTATCTATTCTGCTTGCTACACTTTTCTAGCTTTTTTCCACTACTATGGGAGATCATTTTTTATTTCTAATCTATTTTCTATTCTCCTGTGATTAGATTCCTGCATCTGACTTGATCTATTCAATTCTCTACACTGTCTATTTCAATTTTGTTGTCCCACCTTTCACACCTTAAATTTACATTCCTTATGTTTACTTCATTATTCATTTTTCATTCATTTATTCTAGTTTTCAGCCAGTTTTACTGCTACTCTCTACCTTTCGCATTGCAAAGAAAAATATTAAATATTGTCTCATTCCATCACTCTGTCTTCTTCATCTCCTATAGTCTTTGTACGATTACCATACTGTCTGCGCATGTGAACACTTTATTTTCTCCTCCTTCTCCTTTAAGCCCATATTTTTGCAGGCTGTTATTTGACACTTAGGTGAGTTCATTTTTATTCCAGTACTGTGGAACTTCTGTGACTCCTTAGTTGTGCTCAGTTCTCTTTCCAATTCCATCAGATTTTTCTCATATTTTTTTAAAAGCTTTTACTTTTTTTTTCAGCAACACTAGAAACAAGAACAGAAATCCATTTGCCTAGCTCTACAATTCTTACACTGTGAGAAATTTAAGCGAGCAAACTCAGTGAATATAGAAGCACCAAAATTCACTTCTTCACTCTCTTTCTAAATTAAATGGAGTCCCTACTAATGGTTAGGATGAGGATTGGGGGAAGGAGACATGGTACATGTATAGTTTAAGCATGCACAAGCAGAAAAAACAGCTATGTCAGTCTCAACAAGAGAAGTTTTTTACCAGTGTTGCAAAAGTTTCCTGGAAGGTGTGCCCTGTTTGCACATCAAAAGCAAATGTTTCACCTCTGTCTCAGCACCAAGTTGCTGGGGGAGGGTTCTGGCTGCAAGCCTGGGCACAAAGCTATAAACAAAAAGTCTACAACATTTAACTATGATGTAATCGTGCTTTTATCTACTTTTTGCTGGTAATCTGCTGTTGCTACTCAAACACAAATCTAGTGGATTGTAAGAAACTCCATAAGGAAATAACATATTGTTAAATCTTTAAGCAACCACCGAAGTCTTTCCTTACAGATTTCATCCTCAGAATTATTTTATATAGAAACCTAGTATTAAAGGATTATTACATTTCCTGAAGTGAAGTTTTTGATGAAGAAAAAAATATACTAAGTCTGTTTAAGGGAGATGCTTGATTAGCCAGAATACAATCTTTTTCACCACTTCTGCTTCTGTTGCTATATCCAATAATTATTATAATTATGCTATATCTGTAATTCACTGGTTTGTTCTTTTTATTTAAAGATATGGTGTATCGAGGTAGTGAGAACTGATAGCTTGCAACACATACAAAATCTTGGTACTGGAGAAGACTGAGCACTTCAAACCTTTCACTCTAATAAAAATTTAGGAAATACGCTTTGAGGCTGTCTTAGTAGTTGATTTTTATTTTTTTCCCCCCTTGAAAGGACGCACCAACCACTGGTCTGCAATCATTGGTAGTTCTCACTCAAAGAACTACATCCTTTGGGAGTATGGAGGATATGCTAGTGAAGGTGTCAAACAAGTTGCAGAGTTGGGGTCCCCCGTAAAGATGGAAGAAGAAATTCGACAGCAAGTAGGTGTAATTTAGTGCATTCTTTAAAAAAATGCATCCTATCTTGATCTGTGAATGGTTTGTTATTGTCTGTCTGTGAACATCATTCTGTGGGCTAGTTTTCAGTTAAGCAGTTGAGATCTGCCTGTCTTTCTAGACTCATTCTTACTGTGGCAAAAGTCTTTGGAAAAGGGCAAGTAAGTTGCAGTACTCTGAACTTGGACAATCTATGTGTCATGCAAGGCATAAACCAGAGGCAGAGTCTGGACTTAACCATGACTCAACCATGAAAAACTTAAGAGTTTGTTAAAGCAATATCATGTGTTTAAGCCGTGATATTTTTGAGAGATAAGTTAAATTTTTACAACCAAGACAGCAGAGCTCATAATGCCGGGAGCTCTTTTGCTGGCATTTCATTCAGACTTCTTTATTTTAATTAATTTTTTTTTAATTGCACTTTTATCCCTTGCATATCCCTGCCTGCCTTAAAATTTGGTATCATTGTTTCCTTCCTCACACCTCCTGGTCTACCTCAGGATCTGTTTCCTCCGTTTCCATTTCCTTCCAGCCTTCTGTTGTGGGGTGGTGAGAGGATGCAAGTCACTAAAAGCACTCTCCTAAGATGCTTTTGAGGTTTTTGAAGACACAGGAAAGGCAATTTTTGTGCTTAATTCTGGTGCCTGGACCTGTGTGAGCAGTGCAGGGCTGGGGCAGTAGCCCTTGCCTGCCGGGTGCCCGCAGCGGGTAATGTGCTTCCTACAGAGTGGGTTTGGAAAGGTGGGGCGTGTGTGCTGAGTTTTGTGTGCAGTTGCTTAGGTGAATACATAGACATTTATTTATGTAACTGGCATCTGCATCATTGACATTATCTAGACTTTTAGGAAGGAAAATATCCATCTACTGATTTTTATGATTTATTACTGAAAATTTACCATTTAGGTATGAATCAAAGGAAAAGAAGGCTTCCTTAAACAGAGCTTTATTAACTGTCCTAACAATTATGCGCCATTAACTAAAGATTCTCAAGCGTGACCAATTCTGCTCCCCATTTGACAGACTGCTGAATCATCAGCAGCTTTTCTTCTTGGGTGAGCACCTTCGAATGCTCTGATTTGCACTGTTACTGTAAAAAGCCTGTGTGATATTTTTGCATGGATGGTCTTTGGTACTGTAAACTTGTAGTTTGTTTATCTGGAAGAACTTAAAGGTACTAATCAGCCTTTTTGTTAAGCTTTTCTTGGCAGCCTGGAAGGAAAGCCACAGCACATAAGAATTTTACTAAAACAGTCTGTCACGTGGTTGGTGTGTGCAAAGGATAACTCATGCATTGTATTTCAGGGGTTATAAATGAACAAACAAAGGATGGAAAATGCATTATGTAAGCAAAAGGATGTTCACTTACCTCATGTATCTCTGAAATATATTCACTCTTACACTTTGTTTGCAGAAATCTGATTTGCCCAGAGCCTGTTATTTGATAAACTGCCCAGACAGAAACAAATACAAAATTCAGAAGGGGAATTCTGCATCCAAATTGTGATTGTTTTGTTTAAACGAACAAAAAACCATGACGATTAAAACATGAATCAAAAATAATAAAGTATAATGCTAAACGTCATATTCCAGGCAGATAAAACAAGATGAAAATAAACAGAGTCATTGCTCTTTGATTTAAATTTCTCGTATCTCAACAGATTTCAGTTGTGAAATTATTTTAGGATAAATGCTAAGTAATTTTGCCACCAGTTTTTTTTAAACCCAGGATAAGTAATACTCTGCAAATTACTGCTATCTTGAGGAAATGCAGTTTGCATTCTCTGCTCATTCCCTGTGGACACATAGATGACTTTCTTACACGTTTGGTTTAATACTCTCTGAAATGTCACTATGTGCAATGACTATTTCCATTGTCTTCAGTGGCCTCAGATTAGAGCTGACTACACATCCAGACCTTTGAGAAGAGCACGTTTGGCTTTCTAGTAAGATGCTTGTACATTTTTTGACAAGTGGTAATTTAAGTTATGTGGAGACTTTATTAATTTATGTGAAGAATTTATTAATTGAAGGTGAAACCTGAACTATCCAAAACTTTCTACAGAGTAAAATATATAATTGTTATGACTCTATCCAAACATCTACAAAATAGTTCTGGTTTGGATTTTTTAAAACATATATATATATATATATATGTGTGTGTAGTACAAAAAGGGAGTCAAAACTAAGTAATGTTATTGTTGGATTGATCCTGACAGATTTTTTTGAGAAATGTAATTTCAGTATTTCAGTTGAATAGTTACCATTTCATTACCTGTTTTGTAACACAGCAAGATATCCTTCCAGAGAAAAATGGGGTCATTAGATTTTTCTGACTGAAGCCAGTAAATCGCCAGAATTACAAAGAGGAATCTGCAGTATATTGATTACTTTTTGTTGCAGTGCTAGGCAAATTATCATAGTGTTTAATGCAACAGGGACAAAATTTGGCTTTTTGAATTATCTGTTATGGTTTACTTGCAGAAGTTAAAATTAGCTAACCAGCCGGGGAGGTTCAACCGAGTTACGCTTATGCTTGACAGAACAGCTAAAAATTCTCCCTGAACACTTCAGCCTCAGAGACCATGATACTCCAAACAGTGCACTTCAAAGCTGTGATTGCTGCAGAAGTATTTTCATCTGTGCTTGTTTAAAGTAGCAAAAAATTAGTCAAAATGTAACAGCTCAGTTAGATTCCTCCATTGCTCTGTGCATACACCTCTGTTGTGAATTATGGTAGCTTATACGCCTTTTGAAAATCTTAAGGGGTAGATTTTTCATCCTTTCTTTTTGGAAGATGTACCTTAAATAATAATTTAAAATCTCTGGCATGGTGGTAGTTAGAAGTTTTGAAATGCTTGTTTGCTGTGCTAAAATTCTGCCAAAAAGAAACTATTGTCTATTTATGTCATAAAGGGAAGTTTTATCTACCAAGAAATAACTCATGCAACAGGTTGCAGAACACCTTTCCAGGGTGGCTTCCGTCTTTTAATAATCTTCTGTTGGCAACTGTAATTAGGATGATTCAGTTTGTGTTGCTTTTTAAAAACAAACAAACAAACAAAACCTGTTCATCACAATTGTGTTCTTTTTTTAGTACTTTTCACTTTAAAAGGAAATCCAGAAAATACCAACTGTGTCTGGCATAACAGTAAATAAATTGTGTTTCTACAAATCCTTATTCTTCTGAAGAAAGTGTGGGAAATGCCAAATTTAAATTTCTTCACTGAGTTGTTTTCTGTAGGCTTATATAAACAGAATAGTCACTGTATGTTCCTATGCATAAGCTAGTATTTAGTTTTAATAGTTACTGTAGGATCTAACTGGAATTACACTGTAAAAGTTTTGTTTGCTTGTGCAATTGTTTTGCAATCATGTTTGAGTTTTAAAAATAACTAAATATGTGGAATGTTCACTCTGAGATACCAAAAAGAAATGAAACATTCAGCTATGAAGATTTTTTAAAAAGTCATGTTTTTTAATAAAAACTTCATTTCCATTTCAGTCAGAAAAACTACTGTTTTGTTGGTGAAAATAGTCCCTGCAAATACTGGGAAACACATATAATTTTCACCAATTCTGAATAGTACAAAGCACATTCAATTAGTTTAAAAGCCACTAAAGTTAATAATTGTTTTATAAAATGAAGCCCTGATGAGTAAATATTAAATGGTGTATCATTTCCTGGGCCAAAACATGAAAGACTCAATATACTTTAAATAGTTTATGCAGTCAGCAAATAAAAACAAATAGGAAAATTTGTGCTTATTTGAGTACTCCGAAAATGTTGTGCTATGGAGAAGCTCTTAATTATTAGAGCACCGTCCTTATGCCACAGTTACTCCATGTGTGGTTCTTCTGTTTGAAAGATTGTGAGAGCTGGCAGATATTGAACATACTTTGTGCAAAATGTCCTTTTTATGCTTGTAGTTATGTCCTCGGTTTAGAACACCAGTCAAAATATAATTTTGAAATTGTATTTAGCCTTGGGTCAAAGCTTTAGCAAGAGAGTGGCTTGACTAATAGTTCTTGTTCATGTTTTGTCAAGTTGCTTTTTGCCAGTAAAAGAACAAGAAAAAGAAAATGCTGTAAAATTACTGGAAACTCGCTCTGTCAGCAGAGTTGTAAATCTCAGTGAAATGTTCTGGTTAGCGTTGTTTATTTGGATTTGTGGTACATCTTTAATCCGCTTATACTGGTTTTGTGCCTTATTGTCATAGAGAAATGAAGGTCCCTTTTGCTGTTAAAGATATGTGAAAGTCAGACGGAGAATTCTGTGATGGATGGGTGTTTTCCGTGCAAGAAACAGCCTTTGCAATTTAATGTGACCGCTGCAGTCACGCCATAGAGAAGACATCAGACGTGTGCAATTGTTGTTTCAAAAATTCTGTCTCAGAACACTGGGGTGTGTGATGCACTGCATGAAATTCATATACGTAAAATTAGAAAATGCTTCTGGAAATCATCAGCACTGGACAGACTCTTGTTAGGACTTTGTTTTCATAAGAATAACCTCACATTGACTTGCCCGCACCACACATAGCTATGCCATGGAAATGGAGCATCAAAAGTACTTCTCTCCTGACACTATGCTCTGTCCACCAACTGATCTCTGGGCTGCTCCGAAATGTGAAATTTCCCCTGGGTTAAACTCTAGTCCAGCATTTCCATTCAACAAGACAAACAATTTTGAGGAGGTTATTCTGTCAGTGTCAAGGACACAGGTACCCTTCTCGGTGCTCCCAGAGTCAGTGGCTGCTGCAAGGTGAGGTTGTTCTCACCACCTGGGACTGGGAGAAGCTGCATGAGCTCACTGGCTAAGGCTGCCTTTCTTAACCCCTTTCTTCAGAAGTTACTGACAATCTCCTATCTTCCCTCATACCTTGTCAGCTGAGGACTGTTGGCTGTTCTGGTAACAGACAAGTAGAAATGATAGGGGGGAAAAAAATATATCTTTTTATTATTTTATAATTTTCTGTGCTTTGAAC